TGCCTCTGCCAGCTTTGTGAGGGTTTTGCTCATGAGAGTTAGGGAGGAAGTTGGCTCAGGATCCATGGAAGATGGGTAGAGAGTGTATGGAACAGCACAGTTGCCCAACACAGCTGGTCCCTTTTTACTAAGCACTAAATGACCATGTCTTCCCTCTATACCTGGAATCCCCCACTACATCCTCCTAATGCCAATGGCATTTTTTGACCATGCCAGTTCTAGCAATGTCTTACCTGTCACTCCCTCAAAGCTCTTTTCCACCATTCCAGTGCCCGTGTGAGCACTCAGTACAGGTGGAGAACTTGTATCTGTACTGCTCGCCCTTCGTGAGCATTTTTGGTCTGGAAAGTAACATCTCAACTTGGAGAATTTGCAAAGACATAGCCTCAAATACTGCTTCTGCCTCTCTCTTCCTCTGTCCTCTTGGGGCTCCTGTTATGCATGTGTTAGAGTTCTCTGATGTGTCCTCAGGTCTCTCAACTTTCTCTTCATGGTTTTTCATCTCTTTAGAATTTCCTGCTTTGCTTCAGACTATTTCTCACCTCAGCCTTCTGGTTTCCTAATTCATTTGCTCCCTGGGACATTGTGAAATTTTAAAATACACCTAATAAAGTCTCTGATGATCTTTCCTTCAAGAGATGGAATCAAATTCCTTTCCTCTTAAAGCTAATTTTATTGAGTCTCATTTAGTGAACAGACCATGATAGAAGTGAGAGGACACAAGCTTAAAGAGCTGGTTAGCAGCATACTGAAGCCACCATACTCCTGACTGTCTCTGAAGTCACCTCCTGAAGAGGAAGCCAACAGCTGTGATAGGAGAGCGCACCAGACTGGGCTATGGAGAGACTCCCTGGGAAGGAACTGAGCTGTTTGTTTGGTTGTTTGGTTGGTTGGTTGCTTTGGTTAGTTGGTTGCTCTGGTTTTGGTTTTGGTTGTTGCCAGCTATGCAAATTAGAAGCAGTGACTTCAGATTCACAGAGCTGGCTGATGTCTTAACTACAACCTCCTGGAGACTCTGAAGTGAAATAAACCAGCTAAATTCAATGCCTAAATTCTTGACATGATGGTAAAATAATATATTTGTTATTTTATGTTGTCTATTGAATGACTTGTCAACTAAACACCCTGCCTGTGTGTTTCTTATTCTGGTAACTATTTCTTCATGATTGAGGTTTCTGATCTTTTCTAGACAGCGTTCTTGTCTCAATGTCTTCTGTTATTGTTTCATCATTTCTCAGCCCTTTCTCATCGTTGGAAACATTTAGATTAAATTTAAACCCCCTTTCCAGGCTGTTCAGTTATTTTTTTTCTTTCACGTTGGTCTATATTTTGAGCTTCCTGTTTGCCTTTCATGATGTTGCATATTTTTAACAAAATCATAGTGTTCAGCATTAGCTCAAGATTCACTCTTGAGGCTGGTACTTCAACCTTGGGCATGAAAGCAGGATGTTTCTACTATCTTTTCCCATCTTTACTAAGGACTGTGTGTCCCCTCAGCAGGCTGACTGTGTAATGAGATTCTAGCCTGCCCCTAAGTCCAGTTCCTCTTCCTTTCCCCACAGGCCTCCTAGCTAAGGCCTTCAAATCTCAGCAAGGCTTATGTGTTGTTGAGTTGTTTTATGAAAAATTCTCTATCTCCAACAGAAATTTCCTCTTATTCAAAGAATGGTCTTGAGCTCATGAAATGTTTTCTTTACTATCCTATAGATAGAAAAGGATGATTCAGGCTCTAGGCAACCTATCAAATTTATTGGTCCAAAATTCCAATCAGGTTTGCACACTTAATTTTGAATCAATCTCTCTCTCTCTCTCTCTCT